GCCATATAATCGTAGATAAAGTTTTTTAATTAGTTCTCTTCTTCCCGCTCCCTTTTAGGCAACTTGATTTAGATTTATGTCTTTTATATTTGAAAACTACTGTGTTGCTTTTGAATTGTCTGAATAACAATACATAAAATAGTGATTTGCAGAAACTGAAAATGCACAATATTTATTCAATAATATCAATACCAATATTAATATTTTCACAATATGTGACCATTCAAGACTCTATTAGGATATAAATGTTAATAAAAGTTTTAGTGCATACATTACAGACGAGGTTGAAAAGTGAGTTGATGAAGAATCAGAATGACACAGCAGTGGTCATCAAATAGTATTGAAGGAATGTTTATTAACGTACAGCAGCAGTTTGGTAATAAATCGTTGTTTGTCTGTTTTTTTATGAGAAAACTTCTATCTGTTTCATTGGCCGATTGCCAAAATCGTCCCCGCCACAAACCACAACTGAGCGCCACCAAAAAGGACCATCAGCGTCTCCCCCGACCCACAGGGGGCACCAACAACAGCAGTATTGACTGCAGCAGCTAACAAGAACTTTTGAAGAAGACTTCTCCAGCCTCCATTTCTATTGAGGCATCAATGCAGCAAAGAAAAGGCCACAGACTTTTGCACAAACTGAGTAAAGTTATGTGCACAAACTGAGTGAAGTTATCTGCACGACGAGGAACGGGCGAAAGAGACAACACATTTGTGTGTCAAATATGAGAAAGAAAGTCATTGGAAGAAAAAAGAAAGTGATTGAAAGAAGAAGAAAGGCGTACACACTAATGCAGAATCTTACAGAAAAAATAGACGATATGGTTTAAGAAAACCATCATTATTAAATTATTAAAATAATTATACCTGATGTGTTAGCAGTAATGTGATTTGTAAAGGAATGTTTCAAATGTGGTTGTTAGTTGTGTTTTCTCTGTATTAATGTCTTCAACACAGGTATCCTGCCTGAACTAAGCACAAGTATTGATGATGTCACGGATGAACGAGGATGTGGATGTGACCTATTAATGATAGGTCAAGAGAGGGACTGAGGCATATCTCAGAAATGCTGCACACGTCGTTTATATTTTCAGAATGTTGTATTTACATGCACACGCTGACACACAAAAACCAAGTGAACAAACATATTAAAACACATGTGACAATATGACCTATTGAACTCTGGGTTGGAGGGCAATCTTCTCATCCATCAGAGGTGTCTTCTTGTGTGGGACCAAGTTTGCTCTTCGCGTCCTTCACTCTTATCTGGGGGCTGGGGGAGTTCTGCATTCTTCGCCACCCTCGATGCGCAGAGGAGAATGTGGAGAAGGAGAAACCAGACAAAGACCAGACCAAGACCAGACCAAGACCAGACCAGAGTCCAGACCGAGACTAGGAACTGGCTGATACGACACGCCCCTTCTGCACATTATACTTATACTGATTTTGGTGATGTTTGAGAGTCAGTCAGATAGGGTGAGCCCATAGGGAAAGAGAGCAGGCATAGTTAGGGTAGGAGCTTTTTGAATTTCTGTATCTGATTGTAAAGATAAATTAAAGACAGATGTTTAACTTGGAAATCTTCGTCTTGTTTTCTGCATCAAATTTTGACACACGCCCAAAGGTTTTTTAGCCAATACTGTCCAGAAGAAACCAGCACCTGCATAGAAGAAGAAAACATAAACACAACAAGCAAAACTCTTGAAACGTTGTTAGAAGAGAAATCAGAAATCCTTACCCCAGACAAACTTGAGGAGGAGAGGGAGAGGGAGGACCGTCTAGTGGACTCACCTCATCTAGAGGAATGCAGCATCTCTATAGTAGAAGAAAGCTCAGAGTCTGAAAACAAAGCCCCTGAAACATGCATACAATCCTTCGAAGAGACATGCGAGAACCTGATCTCAGACAGACAAGAAGAAGACAACAACCAAGAAAACATAGTCTTTAAAGGAAGCCCCTGAAACTGAGGCTTGTAACGAGTCGTCTAAAACGTACACTCACTACCTGACACGCCCCTTTGTCAGAAAAGTCTTTGAAATGGCCGGGGGAGAGGAAGACCTGCACGCTCGCACGCTGATGACAAATGTGGAGGACAAAGTTCCCCGCGGGAAAAAATAAAGTGCTCATTTTTATAATTTATACAACATTCTGTAAGGCAAGGCAAGTTTATTTATGTAGCACAATTCATACACAAGGCAACTCAAAGTGCTGAACAAAATAAGAAAGCATTAAAATCATAAATGATCATAGAACATTAAAAAGAAAGATAAAAATATAAAATCCCTCAGTTGTAGCACAGCTAAACAGAACTGTCTTTAACCTGGTTTTAAACATTGTCAGAGAGGAGGCCTGTCTCACATCTTCAGGAAGACTGTTCCAGATTTTAGCAGCATGAATCTGAAAAGCAGCCTCCCCATGTTTAGTTCTGACTCTGGGCACTGAGTCCAGTCCCTGTGCTCCTCAGAGTCCGGGCTGGTTCATATGGGACTAACATGTCACTAATATATTTTGGTGCGAGCCCATGGAGAGACTTGTAACAAGCAGAGCTGTTTTAAAGTCTATTCTCTGAGCCACAGGAAGCCAGTGCAGAGACCTGAGGACTGGACTAATGTGGTCGTACTTCCTGGTTCTAGTCAGGACTCGAGCTGCATTCTGAATGTACTGCAGCTGTTTTACTGCCGTGAAGATGGCGCCGTGGCAAGAGCTCTGGTGTGTGTCGTCTGGTGCACACTGGGGTAGTCTTGAACAGTTTTTCCTATGTGGTTTTACTGCAAATGGCAAATAAATGAATCTGAATCTGAATCTTACAGCCTGTTTGGACAGACCTGTGAGCAGGCCATTGCAGTAGTTTAACCTAGTGGAGACAAAAGCATGGATAAGAATCTCCAAGTCTGCTTTAGACACTATGTTTTGGATCCTGGCAATGTTTTTAGGTGGTAAAAAGCTGCTGATGTTACTGATTTGATGCGTCTTTATCTTATAAGAAAATCAACTGCATACTTAAGAAAGGGCCCTGTGACTCACTATTTGACCATTTGGGCTAAGAGCTGATTTATTGAGTATGGGTGGTCCTCTTATTTTACTTTTCTGTCTGAAAATTGCCAAGAATACATTACTAGTGATAGAAGAAAACTGTTGTTTAATTGTGGATTTTTTTAAAGAAGGTCCTTTATTCGTCCCACAATGGGGAAATTTCAGTTTGAGCGAACATCAAAAAAGCCTGGATATGTTGGAGTTCTTTTCTCTTTTCTCTCTATTGCTCTCAATAAGTTTTGCCTCATCCATCGCAAAGTCCTCGATGCTTCAATATGCCGTGCTTTGCATAGATCACAGCCACCGCTCATGCAAACCACACACCTCTTCTTCTATTTCAAACAAAGCCTCACGGGGTGCTGATACACGCACAGCCAGAGCTGAGCGCTGCTGAAGCCGGTGTGGCCACTATTCCGTTTTACGCACATCTGACGGGCAGCAGCCTATGCGCGTAAACGGAGACGCGGCCGGTGGAGTTCAGCACTTAGATGAGACCAGAGCCCTGGCTTCTTCTGCCATGTTTCTGCTATAACAGCAACAACTTTCCTTGTGTATCCAGACCCGGAGGCTTTCTTTAGTGATGAGAGGAGGAGCGGGGCGGCTGAGAGTTCTGCTTCTAATAAAACAACTCAAAGTTATTTTTTTTTCATCTTTGCCATTACTTATATATCTTGTATATTTTTCCCAATTCCTATCTTGTAATGCAACATACTAAATATAATAGGTGAGTTGGTCCTACCACCGGGAAAGAAGATAGAATTCCAACCGAAAGTGTCGAACGGCCCTCGTGGGCTACAGGGCCTCAGGCTCCTCTGGTTAGCATTTTCTTTTGGAGGTGGTGCTGATGTGCGTTTGTGCGTTTGTTTAATAATGAATATGATCTGCTCATATTAGTAAATGACACATATCAGGTGCATTTTACAACACTGTGAAAAGTTCCAACAGTCCATTCCAACAAGGGAAAGCTCTGTTCTGACTCCAAGTCTGTTTTGACTGAAATATGAAGTTTCAATGATTTTTAAGTACTTTATAAAAGTGCAAAATGCTTTTTATCAAATTTATTTATGACAAAATAATTAATTATGAGTAGATTTCTGCTTATGAATGAACCTGTTTGTGACATAGTGAGCATAATGAAGGATTTATGTGTATACATGTTGGTGTAGTTTACTGAATACTGGAAGCATTTCTTGGATGCTGAATAGTTTATTTTTGTGGATCCCAGTTGTTACTCGTCGATGTCCTGAAGGTCGAAGTGACGCAGGGGTGGATTATCACGATGTGTGGTTAAATCTCTTACGTCGGGGTGACGCAGGGGGCCTAATATCACGAGGTGTGGCATATTCTCTCATGTTTGGCAGTCCAGAGATCACACAACAGTCCAGAGCACTCCTGTTGATCGCCATGTCGGTCACCTATTCACATGAAAACTTCTCTTAATTACACTGCATGAGGATTTTTACAGATAGAATCAGTTGTTTGCATTTACATTGTCAGATTCAGATTCCTTATATTTGCCATTTGCAGTAAAACCACATTGGAATACATTTGCAAAAGCCCCCAGAGTGCACAAGACAAGTACATAGATAAAATGATTTCCCACACAAACCCTGCACAACATCAGATTTCCCGCACAAACTTTTCAAGAAAGATCCAGAAAGATCATAATCAGAACACATTAAGTCAAAACAGGCCTAGAGATTTCAGCCCGGGTCCGCTCCGAGAATGAGGATGGCAAAATGACAAAGAACACATTAAGCACAGGGCTTTTATAGCTGGGTTACGACACCAGATGTCAGCATCAACACATACGCTATTCGATAATCTTGTAAACTAGTCCTGGTCTGTATCTCGAGGGTCTCACTACAGGCTCTTCTTTTCCTTTCAGATGTCCACAGCCTCATTGATTTAAAATAGCAGACACTACACAGACACACTTTATGGCCAATTCATGTCCCTTATAACAATTATGATTCAACAAGTGCCTCTGTCTCTTCACGCACCTCGCTCCAGCGGTCCTCCAAGTGATCGTAGGCCTCGGTGGCATAGGTGGTGGTGAAGCCGTTGTATCCGCCTAGAGCAAAGATGCGCCCGTCCAGCACCTCGATTCCAAAGTTGCTGCGAGCGGTGTTCATGGACGCCACCTGCCGCCAGGAGTTTGTGTCAGGGTTGTAGGCCTCCACGCTGCTCAGACGAATGCTTCCGTCAAAGCCTCCGACCTGCAGGCGAGAAGTGTGCAATGTGAAGATGAACACAAAATGGTGTCCCATTGGTGCACTTGCAACCAGAGAAAATGTTTATTCCACATGCATTTTCTGATTATAAAATTCAATTTGATTTATTCTTATATAGCCCTAAATCCCAGCAGTATTTTTCTCAGAGGACATAACCGTTGAAATTGCCAACAAAAATCAGAGAATCACAGTTCAAACACAAAGAATATAGAACACTTAGGGATAAGCCCATAAGGGGAGTTGACCAATGTCCATGAATGTTGTAGAATGTTAAAGTGTCCTGGATCATCACCACAGTGCTTTTTTTATTAGACCACTAACAGTCTTGCAGACCCTCCTGCATCACCAAGGAAAAACTCAGTGGGAGAAATGTGAGAAACCTTGGGGAGGTCCACATTGAGAGAGGGACTTGAATGCCTTGTATGTATTTTATTTGGGCACTTTGCGTTGCCTTGTGGTTACCTGTGCTATACAAACAGATCTGCCTTTCCTTTCCTTCCTTGCTTTTTAGACAGACGGCATCTTTGTTGTTATAGCCAGTGCAGGATATGGCATTCTGCATGAATCGTTTGCATCAGAAGAGGGGGGTAATATCAAACCAAACCAGATAACAGAGGGTATGGGATGGCCCTGCCCCACCGTGACGCTGACCCAGTTACTTTGGCCAAACCTAATGCTTTTCGTCATCTTTCTGATGAATTTGTTGTGATTATCAGCCTGATGACTTTATTCACTGATAGCTACAGGTCTTTGGATCTAATTTTTAGAGTTAACAGTTACTTTTTCCAAATGCAAGTATCACACTTGAAATCAACTATTGACCTCGTATCTAAAAACAGGGTAATATGAATATGTTTTCTTCTTGCAATAGCCTTCATTAGTCCATTCTTATCACTCCTCTGTGAAAAGACTCAAATCCATCTGAATAATATTAATAATGTATTCTTCATTTCTGTCCTCCTCCAGCCATGAAAATGTGTGAAAATCAATAATTCCAACAGTAGGAATAGATTCTGTCTGTCAGTTTAAAATGTACAGACGTCAAATAAGTATGTTTTTAGCTATTAGAACACCTAATGCTTTGAATATTCTTGTATGTAATTGAAGTCTACATCAACGTGGACCAACAGCCTCTTCATTCAACTCATGTATGATAAATAAATCAGTAACCCATCACACAAACGATATCCTCTACTAATCCCTGCACCTATATAAGACAAGAGGGCACATCTGAGCTTGAGATCTGGGGCATTTTGAGTTCGGGCACACAGGAGAGATGAGTGGGCAGAGCGGGAGAGGCCACTACAGCCGCACTGACAGCAGCAGGTGACCCACATCTCCATCAGCACCAAATGACATCGATAAATGAGTAGGTTAAGCGTTATTACAAGCTGTGGTTAAACCTGCCGTGGCCTCTTCACTCAGTTTTAGCGACACAAGATAAAAATGGCTGAATATTATATTTTGATGAAATATTCACTTACAGATCAATTAAGTGTGGCACATTTGGCGTCGCAGCGTTGCTCGTTCATGGGGGCGATCAGAGACCACCGGTTCGTCTGGGGGTCAAACACTTCAGCCGTGTTGAGTCTTACTCGTCCGTTGTATCCGCCCACAGCGTAGATTCTTCCGTTGAGCACAGTCGCACTCACGTAGCAGCGGCGTTCGTACATCGGGGGCATCTCATCCCATGCACGGGTTGCCAGGTCTAAACGCCGCATGCTGGAGAAATGTTCCGTTCCATCAAATCCTCCCATGCAATAGACTGAACCATTAAGGAACACGGAGCCGTGATAAGCCCGAGGCCTCTCTTCCTCGTCCGTAATATTGATCCACTGAGCCCTCTTATGGTTGTATGCCTCGATGCCATTGGTTGGATTGCTGGCGCTCCAGCCGCCGATTGCCAGGAGAATAGACTCAGGCAAGGCAAGTTTATTTGTATAGCACAATTCATACACAAGGCAACTCAAAGTGCTGAACAAGATAGCATTAAAATCATAAATAATCACAGAACATTAAAACGAAAGATAAAAATATAAAATCCCTCAGTTGTATGCACAGCTAAACAGCACCGTTTTTAACTTGGTTTTAAACATTGTCAGAGAGGAGGCCTGTCTCACATCTTCAGGAAGATTGTTCCAGATTTTAGCAGCATGAATCTGAAAAGCAGCCTCCCCATGTTTAGTTCTGACTGTGGGTACTAACAGGAGTCCAGTCCCTGTGCTCCTCAGAGTCCGGGCTGGTTCGTATGGTACTAACATGTCACTAATATATTTTGGTGCGAGGCCATGGAGAGACTTGTACACAAGCAGAGCTGTTTTAAAGTCTATTCTCTGAGCCACAGGAAGCCAGTGCAGAGACCTGAGGACTGGACTAATGTGGTCGTACTTCCTGGTTCTAGTCAGGACTCGAGCTGCTGCATTTTGAGTGTACTGCAGCTGTTTTACAGCCTGTTTGGACAGACCTGTGAGCAGGCCATTGCAGTACTCTAACCTACTGGAGACAAATGCATGGATAAGAATCTCCAGGTCTGCTTTAGACACTATGTTTTTGATCCTGGCAATGTTTTTTAGATGGTAAAAAGCTGCTGATGTTACTGATTTGATGTGGCTATTAAAATTTAAGTCTGAGTCCAGTATTACCCCTAGATTTCTGACCTTGTTTGAAGGTTTTAGGGAGAGAGACTGTAGATGACAGATGACGCTCTCTCTTTGTTTCTGGGGACCAAAGACAATCATTTCAGTTTTGTCTGTGTTTAGCTGAAGGAAGTTGTTTTGCATCCACTCACTGATCTGTTGGATACAGTGAAGGAGTGAGTCCACTGGTCCATGTTCTCCTGCAGTCAGTGAGACATAGATCTGAGTGTCGTCTGCATAGTTGTGATAGGAAACTTCGTTTCTGCGTATTAACTGACCTAACGGCAGCATGTAGAGATTGAACAGAAGAGGTCCCAGGATCGACCCCTGTGGGACTCCACAGGTCAGGGCCATATGATCTGAGACACAGTTTCCAATCTCCACAAAGTACTTCCTGTCTTCAAGGTAAGACCTAAACCAACTTAGGGCGGTGCCAGTGACGCCAACCCAGTCCTCTAGTCTCTGTAAGAGGATCTCATGGTCGACGGTGTCAAAGGCAGCACTTAGATCTAACAAGATTAAGATTGAGACTTTGCCTGCGTCAGTGTTCAGCCGGATATCGTTTGTAACCTTAACGAGAGCAGTCTCAGTGCTGTGGTGGGGTCTAAAGCCGGACTGAAACATATCAAATGAGTTGTTGATTATAAGAAATCTAGTAAGCTGTAGGTAGACAACTTTCTCAAGGACTTTCCCCATAAATGCCAGATTTGAGATGGGACGATAGTTGTTAAGTACCGTAGCATCGAGACTGCTCTTTTTTAGCAGGGGCCTGATGACTGCAGTTTTCAGGGCCGTTGGGAATATTCCAGAATGAAGGGACATGTTTACTATCTGTGTGAGTGAAGGTAACAGACTGCTCAGAACAGACTTCAGAAATCTAGTGGGTAGTACATCCAAGCTGCATGTGGAGGAGCTCAAACTGGAGATTATCTCTTGGACAGTTTTATCATTTACAGGTGCAAAGTGAGTTAGCTCAGAGAGCCTTTCTGGCTGTTGGATGGTTATCTGTGGATTGGAGACAATGGCGTGTTTGATGCCTTGAACCTTGTCATTGAAAAAATCAGCAAACTCATTGCATTTACGTTTGGAAGTAAGCTCTAATGGCATTTGAACAGGGGGGTTTGTTAATCTATTAACTGTTGAGAACAGAACACGCAGATTGTTGCTGCAGCCTTCAATCATTTCAGAAAAATACCTTTCTCTCGTACTACGTAGCACCCGGTTAAACTCGCACAACTTATCTTTGAAGATCTCGTAATCAACCTGGAGGTTGGACTTGCGCCACTTCCGCTCGGCCCTCCGGCACTTTCTCTTTTGTGCCCTGACCGAGTCTGCTTTAGCCCACGGCGCCTTCTGCTTATTTTTCACTATTTTAACTTTCACAGGGGCAACGGTATCCAGAACATTCAAAACACTAGAGGTGACAGAGTTTAACAGTTCATCTACAGTAGAATACGATGCATTCTCAAAGTTTATCATTCCCATAAATAGTTCACTCGTATTTTCATTTATGCGCCTTCTTCGAACAGTTGCAGAGTCCACTGGTGGTTTGTTAGTGAAACACATGTCAAAAAAAACACAGAAATGATCCGAAAGAGCAACATCGACCACGTTTACATTTGAAATATTCACCCCCTTTGTAACTAACAGATCTAGAGTGTGCCCTCTGCTGTGGGTGGGGCCACTTACGTGCTGAGTGAGACCAAAAGATTCAAGTACAGAACTCAGCTCATTTGCATTTCTGTCATCAACATTATCCACATGAATATTAAAATCACCTGTAATAACCAAACTATCAAAATCTGTGCATACAACTGAAAGCAACTCGGTAAAATTATCAATAAAACTGTGACATGACTGCGGTGGCTTGTATAGGACAATGAAGAGTATTGGAGGAGATTGTTTTTGTTGTATTTTAAAAGACACATATTCAAATGACGAAAACTTCCCAAGAGACATTCTATGGGAGACAAAGTGGTCTCTAAAAATGGCAGCTAAGCCTCCTCCTTTTTTGTTTTCCCGTATTTCAGATTCAAACTTGAAATTTGGTGGTGATGCTTCTATTAAAACTGCATTTTCTGAATTTTGGTCAAGCCAAGTTTCAGCCATGAACATAAGATCAAGATTATGAGAACAAATAAAATTATTGATTAAAAAAGACTTGTTACAAAGAGATCTGACATTAAGCGTAGCAAGTTTCAAAGTTTCAGTATCAGCGGTTGCGGTCGGCTGATTCTTACACGGAACAAGAATTAGATTTTCCAGATTAGACTGATTAACTCCAGATGTTTTTCTGTAATGTATTCTTTGTGTTATCACTAAGGGAATGGCACAGGTGGCTTCATGACAGGGCCCCAGCCGGGTCTCTCCTCTAACTAGACTGCCAGTGGCTGCGAAGCAGAGACCCTGTGCATCCTAGTGTTTAGAGAAAAGAGGGGAAGGGGAAGGCAGGGGAGGAGGATGGAGAGGTGGGTGGCTTTTGGGTGTTGAACGAGGGGGGCAGGGAGGTGGAGGGGTTTTAGGTGATGGGTTATGGCCGGGGTGGGCTGAGGCAGAGGTTTTGGATGTTGAACGAGGGGGAAGTGGGGGTGGAATGGTCATGAGGTTAGGGGAGGGACTGGCTGAGGTGGTTTTTGTAGGTGAATTGGAAACCCTAGGTGGTTTTGGAGGTACATATGGGGAGTGGTTTAGAATGTTGGACAGGACTCTAGATCGAGCTAATATGGGTGTGAGAGGAATAGTCTTCATGGCCGATTTTATTAGCCCTGCAGAGTGTTCAGGTAGGTCTAACAGTGAAGGCGGGGATGAAAAGTAGTAATTAAGTAATCTTTATTTATATACCGCCTTTTCACTGCACATCGGAGTCTCAAAGCGGTTTACAATTGTTATTTTTGGGAGTGGGGGTGCCAGTACAGGAGGCACATGTCAGACCTATTGTACATATTTTTAGTGGTAGGGGAAACCGGAGCACCCGGAGGAAACCTACGCAGACACAGGGAGAACATGCAAACTCCACTCAGAAAGGCCCTGGTCCGACCGGGATTCGAACCCAGGACCTTCTTGCTGAGAGGCGAGAGTGCTATCCACTCAGCCACCGTGCCGCCCAAAAAAAACAAAGGGAGGTGTCCCCATTCTCTCTTGATGGAGTGGACGTGGCAGGGGGGACCCAAGACAGGTCCATGGGAGGTGGCGAGGGAGTCTTTGATGGAGGGGCAGGTGGTTGAGGAAACCCCAGCACAGGCCTGTCTGCTGTAGGCTGGGGTGAGGATGGGGGCTTCAGAGGCGCTGTAGATGAAGAAGGCGTGGCTGCTTTGGAGCAGGCTGGGGATGAGGATGTTGGTGGTGGTGGTCGTGCTGCTGGTGCTGCTACTGGTGATGATGCAGCTGCTGCTGTTGATGATGCAGCTGCTGCTGGTGGTGATGCAGCTGCTGCTGGTGATGATACAGCTGCTGCTGGTGATGATGCAGCTGCATCTGATGACAGTGGAGGTGTTGAGATCCTTTGAGGCGGTGATGGTGTTGAGATCCTTTGAGGCGGTGATGGTGTTGAGATCCTTCGAGGTGGTGGAGGTGTTGAGATCCTTCGAGGTGGTGGTGGTGTTGAGATCCTTCGAGGTGGTTGTGGTGTTGAGATCCTTTGAGGCGGTGATGGTGTTGAGATCCTTCGAGGTGGTGGTGGTGTTGAGATCCTTCGAGGTGGTGGTGGTGTTGAGATCCTTCGAGGTGGTGGAGGTGCAGAGACTTTTGGAGTTGGCTTCCTCCCTTTCGATGGCTGCACGCGCTGCGCAGGCTGAGGTCTTAGGGCAAAAGAAAGGTTATCCATCAACACTTTTACTCCGTAAGTGTTCAGATGTGGCCCTTTCCCTTCAAAAAGCTCATGCCTATTCCAGAACAGATTAAAATTCTCAATGAAGGCAAGTCCTCTGCGTGAACATTCATTGAGTAGGAAAGTATTTAGCTGATAATGACGACTGAATTTCATTTGCTTCCCGTCCACATTTGGTAGTGGGCCACTGATAACGATTGTTGTGTCCATTTTAGCAAGGTCGTCCAATAAGAGAGAATAATCCTGTTTCAACTTTTCACTTGTGTTGTCATAGACGTCTACTGCCCCCACGTGGATCAACAATCTTTTTACCCCGCCGGTCTCAGACAGAAGCCTCGGAGCCAACCGCCTTATCTCGTCCACTTTGGCAGAGTGTACTGAGTGAACCTTGAGATTACACATGTTTACATTTCTTATCGCCGAATCCCCGATAAAGAGCGACTCAGCTGCATTTGACCTTGACTGAGACTGAGACTGGGACTGAGAGACTACTGCTGATTCATCTTCCAAAAGTGGTGAAAAGCGGTTTCTTGTAATTAAAGATTTTTGCTGTGGCATTATGACACTCTTGTTATCATTAGCTTTGCCTTGTTTGGGCTTGGCACCATATGTGTTCCAACAATTGTCTCTGTTGATTTTGGGAAATGAAATAGCGTCATCATAACTTACGTGCTGTCCATTTGGTCCATTTCCCTTCACTGGTATTGTTGTGTTCAGCCCCAATTCTGATTCAAGCACAAACATTCGGTCTTGAAGAAGTTTTAGCTCCTGTTTGAGTGAAAAACAGCCGTCGCAAAGTTTTGTTCTTTTTTCCCGTCCTCCCGACATGCTGTAAGTTAGGTAAATTCCACAAGTCTTGTGTTGAAGTTTGTAAAAAGGAGTAATCCGTGTTTTGTGGAATAAAAATGTAAGCAAAAATGATTAAAGGAGATAAAAAAGCAGCAAGCGAGGAGCAGCAAGAGAATTCGACTGCTCTGTGTGATGGACAGCAGGGTGGGCGGCACTTAGGTGTGATTGACAGCATGGTGGGCGGGTCTTGGGAGTGATGGTGGTGATGTCACACTCTCAGGGTGACGTCACACACCCGGTGGTGGTGATGTCACATGTCCCACACGCGCAGCTCAGAGCGCTCACGTAGCTGTAGCGATCGTCCACGTTGGCGTCGCAGTTTGGGAGCGTCACCGTGACGACGCGATTCCTGTTGTACGTGCACACTCTCTGGAAGGAGTCCAGGAAGGGAGGCTCCAATGTGGGCTTCTGCAGGAGGAGGAGAGGAGGAAGAGGAGGAGGAGGAGGAGAGAGGAAGAAGAGGAAGAGGGGAGGAGGAAGAGGGGAGAGGAGGGGGAACGACGAGGAGGAAGAGGAAGGCGGAAACAATCTAGATTTAGATTAATCAAAATAATTTTCTTTCACACCAACAATGTTATGACTAATTATGTTAAACACACACACTCACAGACACACACTCACAGACACACACTCACATACACACACACACACACACACAGGTCTCACAGCGCCCCCAGCAGGCGTCCGTGGTGATGTGCGCTCCTCTGCAGCCAGGCTTCCTCATCACAAACGTGAACTCTCTGACGGCACATCCAGTGAACCTCCGGAGGTTCACCATCACTGAGGAGGAGGAGGAGGAGGAGGAGGCTGTGGGGAGGGAGGAGACATCACAGAGGGTCAGGGAGGATAAGGAGGCTGTGGGGAGGGAGGAGACATCACAGAGGGTTAGGGAGGAGGCTGTGGGGAGGGAGGAGACATCACAGAGGGTTAGGGAGGAGGCTGTGGGGAGGGAGGAGACATCACAGAGGGTTAGGGAGGAGGAGGAGGAGGCTGTGGGGAGGGAGGAGACACCACAGAGGGTCAGGGAGGAGGAGTAACAGTAGCAGCAGCAGTAGTAGCAATAGCAGCAGCAGTAGCAGCAGCAGTAGCAGCAGCAGTAGTAGCAGTAGCAGCAGCAGTAGCAGCAGTAGCAGCAGCAGTAGCAGCAGCAGTAGCAGCAGTAGTAGCAGCAGTAGCAGCAGCAGTAGTAGCAGTAGCAGCAGTAGTAGCAGCAGTAGCAGCAGCAGTAGTAGCAGTAGCAGCAGCAGTAGCAGCAGCAGTAGTAGCAGTAGCAGCAGTAGCAGCAGTAGTATCAGAATCAGAATCATTTTTATTGCCACGTAAGTAACAGAAGTCACAGACTTGGAAATTTCTTTGGCTCAATGCAACAGTCAGAAAGAGATAATAAAAAATAAAGAATAAAAAACACTTCTAAGGAATAAATGTAAATTTAAAATAGAGTTACAGTTACTATTTACAATATACAAGTGCACATGGTGCACACAATGTAAGGTGACAGCAGTACAGTAAAGTAAAGTGACGTATGATGGGCAGTAAAGTGACTTTATAAAGGGCGGGGGGACAGGTTAAGAAGTGTTCAAGAGTCCAACAGCAGAGGGGAAGAAACTGTTCTTGTGGCGGGAGGTTCTAGTCCTGATGGACCGCAGTCTCCTGCCTGGGGGGAGTGGTT